CAGTTATGTGGCCAACTGAGCTAACCAACTCCCAATTAACATACATGTGTACCAGTACACTTGAATAAGAAGCAAATGACCTCCTTCAGTGCTGTAATCATTCTATGACAAAGGAAGGATAAAAGGGGAGAAAGACAGATTTTATGGAGGGAATTTTGGGGATAAGAGAACTGGCTGTTGAAGATACACTGGTGATGGTGAAGTCGTGAACAATAGGATTGCTGAAGGCTAGATGTAAAGGAGCATAGATATTTCCAAATTGAGACGACAAATACAGGACATACAAGGCTGGTGGAGAGATTTGAAAACAGTGGGTGAATTTTAAAATTGATATGTTGTTAAACTGGGAGTGACTGTCTTTTAGCAAGATCCGAGATGATGAGTAAGTGGGACTTGATGTGAGTTAAGGTATCGCCTGCGGACATTAGTTGAGCTTTTAGTTTTATGGACTGGAGAGCTTGGTAGGCTGGCCAGCAGTGCAGTGGAATCATCATTTATATGTAGCAATGATATGGATGAGGGTTTCACCAGGAGATGAGATGGAGTGAGGTCAAGCCAGTATGCAGGTGGAAATAGGCCATTTTGGTTATGGCACGGATGTGTGACTGGAAGCTCAATCCTGGATCTCACATGTCAGAGTGTAACAAATGGTCCAATTCAGTCCCGGTGAGGGTGCAGAATAGTAGTGATGGCAGGAAAACAGACAGAAACCAGATGAGGGCAGCATGGTGGCTCAGTGGTTAGCACTGCTGTCTCTCAGCTCTCTCGTTCGATTCCACCCTCCGGTGACTGTCTGGAGTTTGCACGTTCTCCCCGTGTCTGCGTGGGTTTCCTCCGGGAGCTCCGGTTTCCTCCCACAGTCCAAAGATGTGTAGGTTAGGTGGATTGGCCATGCTAAATTGCCCATCGTGTCCAGGGCTGTGTAAGTTAGGTGGATTAGACATGGGCAATGCCAGGTTACGGGGGAAAGGGTAGGGGAATGGGCCAGGGTGGGATGCTCTTTGGAGGAACAGTGTGGACTTGGTGGGCCGAATGGCCTGTTTCCACACTGTAGGGATTCTATGATTATTTTCCACTAACAACGTTAAAGCACCAAAAATTAACAGAACACTTAAAACACTTAACACACGAGGCAAAGAATTTTATTGTTTTACTCCATTGGTTTTCAGTTTGTATCCCACCACATTTATACAGTGCATTTAACATAATAATACATCCCGTGGGTGCTCCACAGGAAAGATTATCAAACAAATTTTGTCACAGTACCACATTAAGTGAAATGCTGGAGCAACTTGCCAAAAGCTTGGCCAAAGTGATATGCGTTAAGGAGCATCTTAAACGAGGAGAGAGGCACTACGGTTTAGAAATGGGATCTTGACCACAAAAGGCATGGCTAACGATGATGGAGCAAATAAAGTCAGATGTGTGGTAATTAGGAGAGGACAGAGATATGAGGATTGAAAGGCTGGGAGAAGTTAGATGGGAAGAAAGGAGACTATCAGATTTAAAATCTGGGGTCTCCCAACTTCAGGCCAGTTCTGGCAACTGATGTGGAGCATCTCAATCCTGCAGTTAGTAAGAGTTTGAGTGTCTTTGGATGTTTTACTGCATTTACTATATAAGTACAAGCTTATTATTGTTTGTACTTACTATTTTTACATTCATCCTTTTTTAAATTTTGTGGGCTTGGATATTTGGATAGTTAGATATTGTTGGATAAGTATATCAGAGCAGCAAGAATTTCAGCTGCGTGACCCCACATTTCAAATTTGCTCCAAATCCCTTTGTCTCATTCCTTCCCTCTGAAGACTTCCGTACCAAGGTATTGCTCATTCTTCCAGTTAGCTTCAATATTTATTTCCTTGTGTATCCCTGAAGAGTATTGAAGTACATTTCTGCACTAATGGAGAGGCTTTCCCACATCTAGTGACTCGTGAGGTAGTGAAAAGCAAGTGCTTATGTCTGTTTCTGTGGCGGGTTTTCCCCTGATGTGAGAGTGAGTGGTCCCACTGTACATCGAGCATGTGGCCAATCAGGAATTTCTTTGAAAGATTGACAGGTTGAAAACTGGCCTGTTTGAATAAATTATGGTTGTGCCTTCTGTGGCTATCATATCTTGAAATGGGACTCTCAAACCCATGGCTTCTGCCTCAGAGGCTGGGACACTACCCACTGAGCCACAAGACCACCCCTTCCTACACTAAAAGCATATAAAAAGGACGCTAATAAAACTGACAGGATAGAATCAGAATTGTTGCAACGTAGAGGGCCATTTGATCCATCATGTCCATGCTGGACCTTCAAAGAAATTCATGAACTGCCATCATGAACCAACATCATCCCAAGTGATTTGACAAAATGACAATAGACCTTGGGTAGCTAGAGGTAGCAGGGGGTTGCAGTGAGGATCCTTTACAGGCTCTGTTAAAGCCAGCTGTGGTCTTGTAAATGTGACTTTTTTAGGCTTAAGTGGGATCTGCTATCAGTGTTCACACTTGGAGCCTTAGGTTTCAAAAATAGTCATATTGAAGTCTCAGTTTGCTGCAGGAGTCAGGCACATGAAATCTTTACTACTGCACTCCATTTCAATACTTCTGCATTGTATACTTGTACCATGCAAATCTTAAATATGTCTTACTATTGAGCTGTCTTTTTTTTTTGAATAAAAAGAACTTGAAAAGCACATCCTTAGTGATTTAAATAATTCAGTATTAGTATCTCTTTCTTTCAATTATTAGTCTGAGGTGGCAGATCCACAATTATATAAATAGCATAAATTCTACTTAAATGGAATAAATGTACCTTGTTTCAGCAATTTGTTTTGTTGTGGGGTTATAATGGTAATGGTGAACATTCTAAAAGTGAAGGCATTGTTCACTGGAACACTGATAACATTAAAAAAGACGTGAAGCACTTGTCCTACTGAATGACACAGATCTTGGCGTTTAGCAAGGCTTCACACGTGGATGTTGGCAATGACCAGTCCCTGCATACTAAAGATGAAGACTGAACTGTATTGTGACCATGGCTGCTTCCTACTTCTAAATGCTTGCATTAGTCAAGTTTTGTCCAGTTATCCCAAAGCATCCTCAATTTATTTTTAGTTTGCTCATATTTCAAGTGTTGTAATTTTTGTGATTTATTATTTGCAGTTATGATTTCCATTTAATTCAGTAGCAGAATTATTTTGAGGTGGATGACCTAGAAATCAATAGGGTTCATCACTGTATGCTAGGTACAATATTTTCAGCAACTTAATAGTGAAAATAAACCTTTGAGGTTGCAAAATACAGTATTTGTAAGCGCAAAGTTTTATAATGCAGGATAAAATTAACTTTCCCAATTTGTTTATTTTCCCTTTAAGTGCTGTGAATTGCAGGTAAGGGCCCAAGGCCACCACTATTGGCCATGAGAAGTGCCCAGTCCACATCATCACTCCGGAAGAGCATCTCAAAGGATTAAACTGAGATGTGAAGCTAACCTGTTTCACACTGCTACATTGGAGCAGTAAGATTTGTGGTATTTTCCATTAATAGGATACTGCTGTCAATCCATAAGTATATTCTTCCTATCTCAAATCAGTAATGTGGTATACAAATTTCAGTGCCAGTCTGATGCCATATATGGTGGGTCTTATTAAACCACGTGTCCCTTTGTTTGCACCAGGCTGAGTACTGACCACACCGAGTGACTTGTGCTTTTTTTTAAAAAAAAAAAAAAAAAAAAAAACCAGGTCATAATGTCTGTCATTATTTTGTGATTCCGAGATTGAGAACATAAGAACTAGGAGCAGGAGTAGGCCATCCAGCCCTTCGAGCCTGCTCCGCCATTCAATAAGATCATGGCTGATCTGTTCGTGGACTCGGATCCACTTACCTGTGTTCTCACCATATCCCTTAATTCCTTTATTGTTCAAAAAAATATCTACCTTATCTTTTAAAAACGTTTACTGAAGTAGCATCAACTACTTCACTGGGCAAGGAATTCCGTAGATTAAGAACCCTCTGGATGAAGAAGTTCCTTCTCAATTCAGTCCTAAATCTGCTCCCTCTAATCTTGAGGCTATGCCCTCTTGTCCTAGCTTCTTGGGAAGCACTTGCTGAGCAGTCCTAAGTTCAAAGTAGTACATTGTTAACCAATTAAAGTTTATCAGTTTGGCACTTACACTTGCTAGATGATGCTTATATTCATACGCAGGTAAAGAAATTTGTCCAGCCATCTTTTTTTGAATTAACTAAAGAGCACTAACACTCTGGTACAATCTACTTGGCAACTCCTTGACCAATTGGAGTCCCCTTGCAGTTAATCTGCGCTGTTTTCTCATAGTGTAAAATTTTCTCCCTTTGGAATTTAGTATTGTTGCATTTGCCCTGATAAATGTGAGGTGGAACCTTTTGCTTTTTCAAAAATATTCAAGTTTTTGGACTAAAACTAAGTAAATATACATTAAATAATGATTTTGGATAGCTCTGTGAAGTGTGCAATAGGAATTTTATTAATATTGCTTACAGGTTTCTGTCATTTAAAATCAATTAAAAGCGTTCAGAATAATTAAGTGTTGGTGAGCTTGTACTCTCTTTGGCTGAACTACACTGAAGTGCTGTCTCCTGTTAGGAGAACACATTTTGCTGACTTAAGTTTGGGTGTCCCTCATATATAGTTGAGGACTAATTACGTAATTAAATTAGAATAAGTGTTACAGAAAACCTCATTTGGTATGTTGTGAGCACTTTTTTCCTCTTAGAAGTATGACATAATCTAATATCTTTTAATTTGTGTTAGTGCCCCTTTCCAACTCTGTCTCTGTCCCACCCCCCACCCTCTCCCCTCAGCTCTTATGAAAAATTTCAAGACCTGGTAACATGCTGTCACTTCATCATGAGTTGTCTTTTAAATTGGTCTCAAAGTCATTTTGGCCAGAAATGAACTGCAGTTGTCATCATGCTGGACGTCCTCTAAGAAAATTGGCTGTTTATTCTCTGAATGTTTTTACTTTGCAGTCCCAGCCACCAGTCCTGTTGCAACCCCATCACCAAGCAGGAGCAATGCACTTCTGGAAGCTGCAGGACCAAGCTATGTGGCAATCAATGCCATCTCTGCCAACATGGACTCTTTTGCACGTGGCAGAACAGCAGTTCTCAATCAACAACCAATTCATATGGAAGCTGCCCATTTTGGAGACTTAGGTAAAGTTGTAATTTACTAATTTAAGCTCATGGTATGTAGTAAAATAATTATGGACACTCTTGGATAAGTCTAGAGAGGCAGTGTGTGACATTTTGATATTTTGTTTTATTATTGTACATTGGTGTCAACGTTATACTAGTCTTCAATTATTTCATAAACGGTTTGGCAATTTGTAGTCTGTAGTCGAAAAATGGATAATTTAGTGGCTCAGAGGCAAATTTTCAATGTAATTTTTATATTTGCAAAACTAGGCATGCTTTTCAGTACATAATCAAGATTAACTATTGAAGAGTCAGTGTAGAGTGAGGGAAATACCATCAGCCTTTGAAAGCATTTGGAACCCTTTTCTGAAGTCATTGTTAATGTAATTTTTAACTTCATGGATCTGCATCTGAGTGGGGTGACTGCATCACTAACTATCCCATTATGTTAATGAGTACATTCACAAGTTGCCAGTTTGACTGTATCAATGTGAAAACTCTGTGGTGTGTACTTGTCTTCAAATCTAATAGAATTTCTATTATATCAGTTATTAACTGCTGAAGGCTTGCAGTAAATGTCTGCTTCATGTTCACATCCAGTTTGGCACACATGGCAGGATGAATCTATGCAGCTAATGCTGCCTTTTCCCCCTGCTTTGATGAAATCTTGAACACTTCTGCTTTTGCAGTGAAATCATTGGATTAATTTGCATTGCTACCTTCTCTGTTATGTGCAAAGTATGTTATATCTGGTTGCTGAGCCTGGAGCTACCTATGGCCAAAATTCTGAATTTTTAAAATGTAATCTTGCGCTCTTGCTCTCGTCACCGCTAAGGTAATCCTGCTGTCTTTGCCAACCAAGCTTCTAGTCGACTCTTCTAATTCTATTTCATGATCTAATATCGATTTTTAATTGATAATGCTTTTGTGAAGCACAATAACAAATTTTAAAGGTGCTACATAAATACAATTTGTTGTTACTTAACGCATGTGAATAATAATCTCCATATTCTTTGTGTTCCCCAAATCATCCCCTGCCCCTCCCCCTTAATAAGGTCATTGTTAACCTGTACACAGCAGCCTTACACTTTCTTTTCAGTAATCAGAATAATATCAGTATTTTCCTGCTCCTCCGATGCTGCCTGACCTGTGTTTCTCCAGCTCCAAACTGTGTTGTCTCTGACTCCAGCATCTGCAGTTCTTGCTATCTCTGAATGATATCAGTATTACAACTTTAACAACATAATGGCTTTGTCCTTGTTAGCCATTTTCAATAATTAATTATTCATACATAGTAACTTGCAGTTCAGAACTATATTTTTTCTTGTATCATTCTAACTCTGGCTTGGCCAAATATTTTTCCCCCAAGGTGCTATACTTTTTTTATTCTCACTAATGGGGCCAATGAGCAAATTTTTTAAAGTTTTGACATAACATTAAACAGGCACCTACCAACCAAGAAAAATCAATGTCAAAGCAATGAATTGATTGTTTGTAAACTATGAGTAATTAATAAATTTACAAGTACCAAGCAGCAGAAAGAAGAAAAAAACGGAAAAAAGTATTAGAGATAGTAGGAACTGCAGATGCTGGAGAATCCGAGACAACAAGGTGCAGAGCTGGATGAACACAGCAGGCCAAGCAGCATCATAGGAGCAGAAAAGCTGACGTTTCGGGCCTAGACCCTAAAGCAGAATTGTAGAGCGACAGCTTAGGCCCCTGAGGAAGGAGCTGAGACAAAGCGAAGGACTAGATTTTAACTGATGCTGACCTTGCACTTGCCTTTGGAGCACATTTTGATCTGACCTCAGTAGAATTCATACAAAAGTGGGTTTTGGAGGCAGGTTGCTTTTCAGCCTGGGTTTTGTCTCTCTCCTATGCCATGTGAGGAGATGGCTGCATGTTTATCCACACCAAATAGCCACTGTCTGTGTGAATGTCTGGCTCACTTCCAGTCTCTAGGTATCGCCCACGTTATACCCACTGAGAATAAAGGTATGTGTGAGAATCTGCAAGAAAGTGAGAATGACAAATTCCCCTCTAACTGGGACATTTCAAGATAAATATACAAGTGTCTGAGTTAGGAGAAGGAACTGGCCATTTGGCCCCTCAAGCCTGCTTTAATAAGTTCATGACTAATTTGATTGTAACCCCAACTCTGTGCTCTTGCCTACCCCCAATAACCTTTCACTCCTCACTTACCAAGAATCTATTTGCCTCTGCCTTAAAGATATTCAAGATATTCTTCTTCCAACATCTTTTAATGAAGAAATTTCAAAGGCTTGTGATCCTCTGAGGGGGGGAAAAAAAAACCTCATCTGTCTTAAATGTATGATTCCATATTTTTATGGAATCTTAGTTCCAGATTCTCCCACAAGAGTAAACGTTCTCTCCATATCCATAAGCCCCCTGAGGATCTTACCTTTCAATCAGGTCACCTCTTATACTTCTGAACTCCAGTGAATGCAAGCCTAGCCTGTCCTCTTTAGATAACCTGCCTATTCCAGGTATTGATCTCGTAAGCCTTCTCCGAGCTACTTGAAATACATTGGGTAGGGTTAGAGGTGTGGGTCTGGATGGGATGCTCTTTGGAGGATTGGTGTGGACATGATGGGCAGAATAGCCTGCTTCCACACTGTAGGGATTCTAAGTGAGAAGTACTAATTCTAGATTAAACATTTGAAAAATGCCATTTATGGCTGTAAATCCAGAAGCCTAATGTGCAGCAGCACATATGGTAGGAACGTTCTGGTGATGAGTAGTATGTTATTGGATAGTGGAGCAGAAGAGGAGACAACCAATAAATGGTGTTTGTGTAGCAATTTTTTCTTTTTCATCGGTTACGCCCCATAGCAGGCTAAGCTTAGAAAGTGAATGAAGCCCAATCCAAAGCAGCTAATGAGTTACTTATAAAGAAGCTAACTATCGACAAAATTCAAAATATGGATTTCTTGATGGCTAAATTTTGATATTGTCTAGAAAGCATGATATCAAATATTTTTATGACTATCTTCTATATATTTTGCACATTTATTTGGAAGGAATTTCATTATAAGCCAAAGAATTGCTATTTCATAATGTTAGATAAGAACGTATAAAGGTATAATTTCATATGTGCAATACCTTGGCAGTGTACAGTAGATCGAGATTTAACTTTGTATTCTTTCTCCCTGTTTGTGTTATATTCTCTGAATTTTTGAAAAACTCACTTCATGCTTCATTGCAACCAGCTGTTTGTATAACTGTTATATGTGTACCTTTTACAATGAGAGATGAAAGTATCCAGTTATCTGCAGTGAAGTATGCAGAGAGGTCCTTAGAAGGTCAGACATTGAAGAATTACTGGATGCAATTTGTGGTCTGGACCTATAGTAAAAAATGGCAACATGAATTTGTCACATTTATTGCATTGGGCAGTGTGCCACCTCCACTTTGGCATTTTTCCCAAGGGTTGGGTTTGGTAATCTGCAGTGTGACTGGTGTGCAACATATCTCATCTTACCAGTTCATCATGCATTATCTCAAAGTTAAGAGGAGCTTCCTACAAATGCTCCATTTCACAGGCAAAAGTAGGCCTTATACTTTAAGAAATGTTTTTTTGAATCCTGGATAATGGTGGCTGTACTGTACCCACCAATTATTGATGGGAATCATTTCACAGTGACACAGGATTGTTATTTTTCAACAGGGAGTGGGCTGTGGTACAATATTGAATGTTCATTGGATTGTAACCAACGTATGGTATTGAAGAAATATTCTTGCCTCCTGTGGTCTACCCTGGTTTGCTACAGAATCTTTCAGTTCAGATATACCTTTTTACTAAATAAAGAGTCCATGCTACTCTCTTTTCATGTTTTTGTTTTTAAATAGGTCATTCTTGCCTGAATTATAAAGCTGAAGAGACTAATTCCAGACTCTCAAAGACTCTTGAACAAGTCCTGCAGGACAGCACTGCTCTCCCGTATATCATCCAGTTCATGGAGATGCAAGGAGTTGAACATTTGGTTAAATTCTGGTTGGAAGCAGAAAGTTTCCGCTCCACAAGCTGGTCTCGCATCAGAGCCCACAGCCTGAACACAATAAAGCATAGCTCTTTAGCAGAACCTGCATCCCCTGCAAATAGACGGTGTGATGTTGATGTACCGGTATCGCTTGACTCCTCTGTGTCTCCTGAGCTGAAGGCAAAGGGTAATCCAGTTTCTAGTGGTGATAAACTTAATGTTTCAGACCCCACAAGTCTGGGCTGCATTGGACAAAATAAAACTTCTCCAAATCACTCATTAAATCAGGGTGGCAGTGATTTGAATCCATTGCGTGTTGGGGCATCAAGAGCAATAACCATTCAAACAGGGTCGGCAAGTCAAGAATCCCAAAAACCTGCTTCGAAAGGACATGCCCTTCAAACAGGATTGAAAGGCCTATCAGACAAATTGATGAAAAGTAAGCCTGCTTCTATTATTTTCTTCCAAAAATGATCACTTGGTTCAATTTTCTCTTCTGGGTAATGTGTTATTTGTGATATTGGAGAATAGGTTAATGCCAACAATGAAACTTTGAGAGCCTCCCTAAATCATTGCTGACTGATTATAATTAACTAGAATGGCCAAGCAGTAATTAACTTTCAAAATATAATGCGCTCCCCAAAATGGTTAGTGGATTGATCAACAAGTAGCTAAGCCAAACGAAACAGGATGCCCTAGTTTCCATCCCTGATCTGTGCTTAATTCATCGCGAGGAAGGAAACTCTCTATCTTTTAAGGATAGTCCTTTTTTGGTGATGCAGCGAGGGCAGGATATGCATTTTGATATGAAAGGCACTACCGATTTAGTGTCAGTGGTATACATTTTAGCATGTCGCCTGTGTTTTTTTTTAAAATAAAATGCAGATTTTGATATTGCCCACCATTTTGTAGCAAAGTAAGTTGTAATTTTGTGAACTTTGAATGCACAGCTCTTAAAACAAGTTCCAGTTTGACCTTCCTTTTGGAGAACTCTGTTGCAAATAGGAAGTGGTAAATCTAACAATCTTGTGTAATGGCATGGTTCAGTTCAAACCAGCTAGATTACTTTACAAAGAACGATGTGTAGTTCTGGTTTAATACTGCATGAACAAGTTGGGAGCATTTATCATTCCAGTACAGTAGTGGGAGAATGCTGCACTGCTGCTAATACTGGTCTTTGAATAAGATATTAAACCATCGTCCAACATGCCTGTTTATTTAAGCCGAAGACACCATTTGAAAAAGAGCAGAAAAGTCACTCGAGTATCTTGCCAGCATTCCTCACTCTATGAAGACTATCAGAAGAACTACAAGTTTTTGTTCCTTTCTCTTTAAGAGTCAAATGTACAAGTGCTGAAACCTCACCCACATTCCTGGCCCTCAAAATGAGAATTTGGTAAGGTGACAATTAAATGTTGATATATGGACCAGACCAAACCCCCTCCAAAATATATTAAGAAGATAGCCTAGACACTAACTTTGCCTTATTGTAAAGGCAAGTACCAGGCATTACATTCCAGATGCAATTCAAACTACCAGATCTGAAGCAAAACACACTTTATTCATACACTATAATTAAAATACAACAAAAGAAAGAAAAAAATTGGAATAATTAACTCTATTGGAAAAATTAACCAAATAATATTTTAATTACTAAAGAGCAACTGTTCCAATGTAGTAATACCCCATAAACACACCCTTGGCCAAAGGCAAAATTCAATAAAATAGATTGTCTCAGTCAATTCTCCAGTCCAGGAGGAAGAAAAGTGGAGAAAACAGTGTGTGTGTGTGTGTGTGTGTGTGTGTGTGTAACAGGGAGAGAGATGTACTTCCAAACCCAGCTTCAAGTCCCAGCAGCAGCTGCTACTGAAAAACTAAAACTTAAAAATCCTGGCTCTGGGGGAGCATCTTTCCATTCGGACCCCATCCATTCAGACTGCTTCTATTGTCCCAACCTTTTGCAAAAAAAGCCCAAGGCGCCTCAAGCTTTTTACTTTATTGGATTCGAATAGACAGTGCACACCTCTGAATTCAAACTTCTCTTTTTAAAAGAAATGGACAAAATACACCTCTTAAAGCCATTTTCGTCACAATTCTACAAGACAAAATTTCATTCAGAAAGCTATAAGTTATGTGGCATAAAACTTTGCATTCTATTCTTCAACTTATTGAATAAATTGATTCCATTGTACAAATTCTTCAATTCTGGCAACCAGCCAGTTGTTTACTTGAATTCAGTGTCTGCATCTGTAGGAAGCATGATAAAGGTCCAAGAAGCAACATTAATAACAAAGCCATTCAGAGTGCACAGAATTTGACAAGTTGAATACTGAATCTATCTTGATCTGTTTCGGCACTTGTTAAATAAAGGGTCTATTATTCTTCTAAATGTTACATTATTGTAAATTTAATTATTTTTAACTTTAATCCTTCATAAAAGGTACAAGCTCCTGATTTAAATGGATGCTGAGATTTTTGTATACAGAATTTGATGTAATTTTTTAAAAATAAACAAAATTATTTCAGATTTATACTTTCTCCTAGTTCAATGAAAGGCCACAGATCTTGTTATTTCCTGTTTCAGGATTTTAAATTCTTAGAGTTATGCAAATTATGGAATGGTTAATACACAATGCACTCTCTCCTTTACAGCCTCCTTCAAACCCAGACCCCCAGCCACATCCTTGAAAATAAAATATTCATATCAAAGACTGTGCACAATGTAGCTTTAATTCGAAGTTGGGAATCCATGTGAAAGACTGACTTAGAGGTATCTCAAGGCAGACATCAGTTATGAAGCGTATTATTTGAGACTAATTTTAACGTTTGAAAAATCTTCAAACACAAAATAGGATCAGTAAAGAAGTCTTCCATTTCCTTCACAGATTTTGATACCTACTGCCATTAACTTGTCAGAGACAGATTTGCAGGTGGGGGTTGGGGGTAAGGAATGCTTTATACCCTGACACATGAAGCATTGTAAATCATCTATATATATCCTATTTGTGAGGTATGTTATGTGCATTCATTTGCAAACCTCCAGTCTCTCGTAACACGGTTTTCAATCTCTAATTCCTACAATGAATACATTACCTTCATCCCTAGTTAGGAGTTTGCTGGTTAACAGCAAGATACAGGAATAGGCCATTTTAACCCTATTGAATTGAGGAACTTTCAGGGTTTTTTAAACATGGCACACCGTAGGAATGTAATATGCAATAGTAATTTTACAAAAGACAGCCAAATCCAAATAATCCAAAATTATTTTGACAGTTAAGAGGAAAATAATTCCATAAGAGGAAATCCCATATTTGGCAATAAATTTCAGTGATAGATTGAATACTGATTGCTTTGGTGCAGCAGGTCATTGTGGGAGGTACCTCTAAAAGTTTGGCAGCAATTTCCTTTGTGCCTGGTGAAGTACACTGCTGTTTCTGCTGTGATTTCATAGTCTTGCTAATGAGATTCAGTTCACAAAAGATACATAACAAATGATGTGCTCCTATAACCCACCGTGCAAAATTAATTTGTTGTAGTGTGGCATATTTGAAACTTGCTGATCAGGTAGGTTTTCTGTTTCCTGTGTTCTTCAATTTACAATAAAATTTCAATCACCATAACTAACAGGCTTGTGGAAAACACATTGTAATGCATTTGTTAATGCACCCTAGGGTTTTACTTTGAACAGTTGAGTTCATGGTTGTTTTCCTTTCTGCAGGTATAGAGCGTGATGCAGTTAATATATTTACTAAATACATTTCACCAGATGCTTCTAGACCAATTCCAATTATAGAAGCAATGAGAAATGATATAGTAGGTAAGTAACTCCCAGAATTGCTCTTTTAAGTGGGAGGTGGTGTGGGACTAGCTGGCCTTCAAACACAAAGGGCATTCAATTTGTTTTGCAAAATAAATAACACAGTCTGACAAACTCTCTTTTCTTTCCCCACTCCTTCCATTAGCTTTCCTCCTGTTACCATTTTTTTAATGGCACTCAAGATTGTTGCTGGGCTGCTATTCCATGTGTGTTAACGGTCTTTCAGTATCTTGCTATTGTCACCATGACTTGCATAACTATTCAATGTTGGGTGTTTCATCTGTGGACACCTTTACAAATGAATTGAATCTTATCCAGATGTACTTCCTGGAGATGTGCCAGGTAGAATTGGACCACCTGTCACTGAACTGCTGAGTGTCATTTTGGTAGCAGTCTCTCTTTGAATGCAAAGTATAGTCTAACTGCTCTGTAACCTTAAAAAAACAAATACAGGGCCAGAATCATTCAATTTTCCCATCTTGCATGTTGTTTGTTATGGAACTTTATTGTTATTGGTATGTTAGTGAGAATAAATACTTTGTGTGATATCACAAAGTTCATTGATGTCACAACTGGGGAAAAACAACTTCAGTCAGTTTCCAGTCACAATGCCCTCAAAGTGGATGTTTTTCATGACCCATTAGGATGAGTCCACTGAAAATGCTTATCTTCAAGCAACTTGTAACCACTAGCTCTGAATTGGAGTTGTGTAGGGTGACTGGGAATCCCACTATTGCATTTTTCTAGGTTCCTGACGGATGTTTGAGTTCTAAGGAAAGGCTGGATCAGCTGGGACTTCTTTCACTGGAGCATAGGATGTTGAGAGGCCAACATGATAGAAGTTTATAAAGTAATGAGATGAATTGATAGGGTTAATGGTAGTTGTCTTTTTCCTCGAATGGGGGATTTTGAGATTAGGGGGTACGTTTTTAAGGTGAGACGAGAGACATTAAAGACATGAGGCAAATTTTTTACACAGGATGGTTCGTGTGTGGGTGAACTTCCTGAGGAAATGGTGGATGTGGGTACAATTACAACGTTTAAAAGACATTTGGATAGATACATGAATGGGAAAGATTTGGAGGGATATGGGCCAGAAGCAGGCAGGTGGGACTAGTTTAGTTTGGGATTATGTTCGGCATGGACTCATTGAACCAAAAGGTCTGTTTCTGTGCTGTGTGACCCTGTGGCTTCAAGACATGAGTTTTTAGGAGGTTTATGAAAACCAGTTTTTGGTAGGGGTTGGGTGAGTGACAAAGCAGCCAACAGTTTAGAGAGAAAATATCAAAGAAAAAAGCCGATGACAAAGATCAGCATGTGAAGGAGGGAATAGGAGTAAATAATGAGGGACATTGAGTGTCTGTGCCACTCCCTTTATTGATGACCTCCTGTTGAGTATTCATCTGATGCAAAGGTAGAACAGTCCCTTTTGTTGCATTTGCATTTTGAACTTGCCGAGCTGTTTGATGCTTTAGAGAGAAGTGTTGTTTTGCTTTTGAGATGTCCGTCCAAAATTTCATTCATTTGGTTTTCAAGAAATCCTGGGTGGTTGGGTATTAACTGAAGGCTGTATACAAAAGTCTTGGAAGCTAACAGTGACTAAATCGACACACCAGTTTTACTTTTAATTTCACTTTCTCACAATGCTGTCTTGTATTTTGTGTTTGGTTTTATGGCCCAAAAAAATCTTAAGAAAACTACTCTTTCACTAGCTTCAGAATTATAAAATGTATCCCGGTTGTGTATCATTCTGCAGTACTGAAATCCTTTCTTTGGTATAAACAAATGTGCTTCTCTCTTAACAGCTAAGATATGTGGAGAAGATGGACAAGCAGATCCCAACTGTTTTGTCTCTGCACAAGCTGTAGTATATGTAATGATGGAAAAAGAGTGAGTAAATATGATGCAAATGATTATTTCAAAATATTAATAGCTTATCCTGTTGGAGACATGTAAAACATTGGAGAAGGGCAAGTGTTAGGCCTAACAAGAAGTCTTATACAGTTTGAGACATAGATATGCAACCAGAGTAGGTGGATTTGTCTCAACCAGATACCCAGTAAGCGGGTATAACAAAAGTGTTACTATTAGGAAACCTGTAAAAACTACTATTTTCGGTGGTAACCTATGGAGGCAATGTTACATGTTTAGTAATGGTGCATATATTGCAACATTCTAGTCTACTAAAAACCAACCTGAAATGAAGATTTCTGCAGGCTCTGTTGTACCTAAGTACACTGCGGTTTGCTATGAATAGTACAGAACAAACAAGTTTAACTGAGATTGTTAGGCAAATGTCATTTCTCAGTCATTTGTAAACTGCCTGTTGACTTGGGCAGCTCAGATATCAGTCATTTACTTAAAACACCTGACTGGGATGCAAGAGTTATCACAAAGTCACTGTGAAGAGAGATAACTGCTATTATGGCAATCTTTGTTCCTGTTTATTGAAGCTTAAACTTAACTTTGAAACTGAAGCAAATACAAATCTCAAATTGTCATGGCTTTTCAATTCGAAACATAAGCACAATTTTTAAAACTTGTGATGCAATGCATTCTCAAATCCAGTGACTTCTGTTCCCTTTATTCCCATTATGCTGTGATTGACAGTCTGTTATGTGTGACAGCAAGTCATTCTTTCACCAAGTGTTGAGACTGGGGAGAGAAGGAAGAGGAATTCCCACTGATGCAGTTTCGCAGTAAAGCCTGTAATCCCAACCACCACCCCCACCCGCCCACCAACAATATTATGGCACTGCTTCTAATAACTTTATTGTTATGGATGGACTAAACTTCAAATTTAAGCATGTGAATGGCAATCCCTCTTCCCTGAAGTACCAGGAGCTGCTTGGAGTACTATGACAATCCAGTAGCTATCATGGTAATTTTCTGATGCCCTGTTCTTCTTTTAACGTAGTACCAAGGGATCTTTTGTGTCTCCTGAAAGGTCAGATCAAGTGGGGCGGGCAGGGGGAATCCTTGGTTTAGCATTTTATTCATAAAATGGCATGTCACCAGACCGTGCAGCATTCCCTCAGTACTGTGTGATGTATCAGTCTACGTTTCATGCATAAGTCTCTGGAATGGCCCGCTGGCTTAAACTAGTACTATATTGTGCCTCACTGGTGTAATGCATTGGAAATCCTGCCATTCCTCATGTCATCAGAAAAGTTAAAGATTTTATAAAAATATGCATAATTCCCCAGTTTACCTGCCTTTTAGACCCTGGTTGACAAAGAACCAACCAGATTACTGGCAGGCAAAAGGCCTTTGTCATTGTTCTGTGGAATGGTGACCAATTGTCAATCAACTCCTTGTTGCCTGCTAAATCTCATTTGTATACACTGATTCCAGCTCATCTGCAGCTCAACGTCCCCCACTGTTTGAACAACACAATGTGAAGTTATTTTCACAATCCTTGAGTTTTTAAAACAGTCTCATTTTTGATCCACAATCAAAAATATGAAAACTAAAATGATACGGTTTATATAGCTTTCAATGTCATCAGATGACAGTGAAGTTAAAGTAAAATATGTTGTACCAATATTTCATAATACCTTACTAGTGAGTTTCCTGGTTGCATTTGTTCTGTAAACCAACACTGCAGATTGTTGTGGATTGGATCATAAATATAAGTGCATGACAAAGATACACATTACTACCTTTGTCTTGATATGAGGGAAACACTTCCAGTTTAGATCTCAGTTGGGATGCCATCAGGAGCATAGGCTTTGTTGTTTCTTGTCTATTTGCTTCACTATCGCCATTTTTCTACAATGATTGTTCCTGGCTTCTACCTCAATACTCAAAGTCTGGAGAATATCAGCTGCCGTTATGAATTTTCAGTCAAGGCATTGTTCAAAACGTTCTTTTCAGTGTTGACAATGGCATTATCATCTTAAAAGAAACATGTTCCTAAGAATGAAGAGCATTTTATCCACTTCATCTCGGTCTGTAGATGGCCCTGAAACTCCATAAATGTTCAGGTCAGACTACTTAAACATTCAATGGACTGAGCATTGTGTCTGGATGGCTGAAAATGTCTTCCCTGTCAGTCCTGTTTTCTCAACTGTCACATTGCCAATGTTCCTGGGCAGGACAAAGAAAATGGATCAAAGACCGTTTGAAACTCTGTGGAGCATGAAAACGTTGACATTAATGATTGAAAGACTTTGCTACCAATCATTCAGAACAGCCACAACCGGTCCATCAAGCTACATAATACTTTGAGTCTGTGTCTTAATGTTGATAAGTCAGGGTAGTGGCAGGAAAGGGAAGGGAGAAAATTCTGCACTTTAGATAAAACAAGCTAGTGGGATGTCACATCCCACCTGCCCAAACATATATTGGTCAAGTATTAACCTTGTCAGTTACTTGAGGACCCGTTGCAGAAATCTGTGACTCTGATGACTGATCACTGTCACATCAGTAGATAACTGCTGACTCTAGCTTAGAAACTGAGAAATTGCAACTGTCAGTGCAATTTTATTAGTGTTGGTGCGAAGCATGTATAGCTTGCGTAATGGAAATCTGAATCTCAGGCCAAGCTGAGTGTAAAAGAAATTCCTGTAGAGAATAACTTAATGTAATTCTGCTGCAGTGTCTTGTAGAGTTTGCGTACTAAATAAACTCAAGTCAATGTAAAGTCAAAACACTTTACGTCAATGCACCTTTATTGAGCTTGTCACTAACCTGCATGCTGTCATATGTTCGGAAGAATGAAAATGTATTTCCTGAAATACAAGGGTGTTAGGGAAGGCAATTATTTTCAACACTCTCTCTTTATATTCTTGCTCAAGTCAAAATAGTTGATTCTTTTCAGTCTGCCTTTGCTACCATGAACAGTACACTACCCCAAGCATGTGGGGCATATTTTTACCTGTGATATTGCCTGCAAATAGAATTGCTGACTGTGCGTGTCACTAAGATGACAGTGTGATTTCAGCTGGAGTGATGCACCCTGTTGACTCTTTAAGGGAACAGATATAAACTGAAAAGAACGTCTTGATGAAATTGTGACTGATGATTTATTGCCATCTTGTGGTTAAACATAAAAGAAAAATTTGGGCTCTGGAGTTATGCATTCTGACTGCTGCTGGGCCATAACTAAAATCTATTCTTAAACTATTCCAAAATTTCAGTGCAAAGTAAGTTCCATTCATAACAGTGCATTATCTTTGTTAAAGATTGCATAACATTAGCGAAAAAATTACCATGTGCTGTTGCAAGGTCAAAACGAATAAAAATGTGTTGCTGTTTCAACAGCAGTTTGCACCCTTGTTATTTTCTATGTCTAATTTGCTTTCCCCCCTCATGTTCTATCAGAAAGCAGCAGATTCAATAGCACATGTTGCCTTTTCTTTCATAGTTTATTTTTCAGAAAAGCAACAATCACTCTGTTGTACACATTAGCACCACAATTGCTGAGAAATTCTGAAAAATCCATCAATTTTTCTCCATCCGTTGTACATGCTAATGTATCCATTATATCTCAAAATTTTGTATTGTTTCTCATAAGTTCGTCTGATCCAGTTCACGCTCAGTTATCATAATGCTTTTCTACATAATGCTTCAAAACGTTAAATGGGTGAGAATGCATGCAGATATTCTGCATTTAGGTAGTTGTGACATTCAGCAAGATGATCTAAACACCTGAAATAGCAATATTCACTTATCTGTTTCAAATACAAGGATAATTATGTTTTGTACTGTCTCCTTGAATTACTGAAGAAAATCCTATAATTTGCTACCAATTCTATCCTACAATGCACCTGTGCCTTGGGTCCCATGGTGGCTGGGGGCCTAAGTCTGATGTTACTGAAATGCGTGTGGCGAGTTTAACATGCAGAAACTAAGGCAAAAACAGATGTTTTGTTAACGTAGACTGTCTATTTCAGCCACTTTTCAATTAGAGAACAGCAACCAGGACAGAGGCATGCTTGTTACCAAGTTAGGTATCAGAACTAATGCTGGGGAAAGAGATAGTAGGAACTGCAGATGCTGGAGAATCTGAGATAACCAGGTGTAGAGCTGGATGAACACAGCAGGCCAAGCAGCATCAGAGGAGCAGGAAGGCTGATGTTTCAGGCCTAGACCCT